TGTATATCCTCTAGCGAGTCTTCAATAGCTGAGATTCTCTCTTCTGTCTCTTGAATTCTATTAGTTATACTCACATCTTTAGATCCTGATCGTTTATCCAACCTTTCCATTTCCAGCATCGCTTCATTCTGTGTTTTCTTTAATGTGTCTAATTCAGCTTTCTTATTCTGTCTTCTTCCCATATCTTTTTCCAGTGAGTGCAGGTAGGATCTCTCTATCTCCTCTTGTTACTCTGTAGTGTGTGTGGGCCAGGAATTCAATGTCCGAAGCTCTGGATGGTTTTGCCTCTCCTCGTAGCCTCCTCACTCTGATGGCGTTAGGCCTCTTGGTGGATCGGTCGCCGGGAATGGAATGAAGAGTGGCCTGTACCCAGATTCGGGGAGCTCCTCCCTGGTCTGGTCTGGTCTGGTCTGCGATGAGTCCACGGAAAGGGAAGGAAGAGTGTCCTGAACCAAGCCAGATTCAGGAAGCTCCACCCTGCCTGAGCGTGTCTGTTTCAAGCAGGGACGAGCCTGGAGGGATCTGGGTGGATGGCGCTGGTCTGCGATGAGTCCACGGAAAGGGAAGGAAGAGTGTCCTGAACCAAGCCAGATTCAGGAAGCTCCACCCTGCCTGAGCGTGTCTGTTTCAAGCAGGGACGAGCCTGGAGGGATCTGGGTGGATGGCGCTGGTCTGCGATGAGTCCACGGAAAGGGAAGGAAGCCCATTTTAGTATTTTATGTGAGTTAAAATTGAAGATTTCCTTATTTACCTCTGGGTGTCTTGCACTAAAATCCAGAAGAGCTGACAGTATTTTATAAAGAATAAATTATTAAAAATCTCAATTCAAAATTCAGACTCTAAAACATGTTCTTAATATGTGATATGGAAAGTTATTTTGTATATATCAATGCATTGATTCTAAAGACAAAAGATACAGTATAGCCAACCGAATATGGAGAAAAAGAAAAAACCTGAGAAATATTACTACTTTGCTTTAGACATGCTACTTTAATAGAGTGAGCCGGAATGTGCATTTTTCAAGGAATAGACAAAGAGATCAAAAATATATAATAAACAGGAGAGAAATTTTGACACAGATACAGTTAATTATCTATACAAAGAATCAAGAGCAGTAAGATAAGGACAGTTATCTTAACAAAAAGTGCTGGATTCATGGTATAATTACACTGAAATGACTCTATGAAAGAAACGGGAGAATGACTAAGAACACTTGAGGGAGTGGAATGAATATAATCAAAATATATTGTATGAAATTCTCAAACAATAAATAAAATGATAAAACAAAAATGAATCCAAATATAGTAAAAATTAATTTACAAAACGACTTAATGGGAGATCTATGTATAAAAGACAATATCAGAAAACTGCTAGAGCAGAACTTAAGAGAAAATCAAATGGAAATGGTAATGAGTATTTTAAAACACAAGACCAAGGGCAAAGTCTATAAGAAATATGATACTTAGAAAATAAACTTGAATTCTGCAAAGGTAACTATAAAATAGTACAAAGACAGGGCCTATGTTAATAGCTGGGGCAAATACTTGAAAATGATGTATTAAATATACTAAGATTTCTTGTAATACTACCTTACTGAAAAGAGGAAAAATATAGTTAACATGCCAAAAATGGATAGGGAGAGTTTTACAAGACTCTATTTCTTGATAAAAAGCTATAGGCAATTAATGTCAGTAGATATATAAAAATAAATATACAGTATATATGCTCATGTTTGCATATAGTTTTTTGCATTTGTGATAATAGCAATAACAATTTTAGAAGAGATCTCGAAACTTAGTGGAAATCATGAGGAACATGGAAGGCATTGTGGTGGAAAGAAATGATGTATATTTAGTACTCATAAATGACATTCTAAAAAAACATAAAATTAAATAAAAAAGGTTTAAAAATTGGGTAAATGATCTACCTTGACCAATCTTACCAAATAATATAAGCATATAGAAATAAGCATATGAAAAATAGTTTAATGTCTTAATGCAAATTGAAATAATAGGAACATGTCAGTAGATGCCTACAAAAATAGCATAAATTTCAAAACACTGACAGGATAAAATGCTTGCTGAGGACATGTAGCTCAAAATATATTCATTGATCCACTTCATGGAAAGCAGAAACTTGAACCATGCTACAGATCACATTGATAATTCCGAGTAACATTGAACACATTCTTATCTATATTGGACTGAAATTTTCAATTGTTTATAATATTTTTATATTTTTACATATTTTATTGGTATGGGTGATTTACTTACACTGTTGTTTATGCACCATCTACATGCCTAATACCAAGAAACTTCAGGTGAGGGCATAAACTCCCTCAAGACTGTAACCACAGTTGCTGGTGAGGCAATATGTGTGACCTGGGAGCTAATCTCAATCTATTAGAAGAGAAGCTGGTGTTCTAAACCACTAGCCCACTTCATACTCCAAAATTCACAATTTTATTTCAAAGTTGACTGCCAAAAATTCATGGCTACATGATAATGTTGCCATGGACATTTGTACCAGCTTATTCAAGTTGTAAACCTAGAAGAAGAAAATCCAGTATCCTTTACTAGAGGGTTATATAAAATGTAGTATACCACCAAGTGGAATGTGATACAATATTCAAATGAAATTGTCTATCATCCTTCAAAAGCCACGAAAGATCATTAAATGACATATTATGAAGAGGAATAAACCAACTTCCAAGGGGTATATAAACTATGACTCCAAATCTGTGACTTCTAGAAAAGATACAACTCACCAGACATCAGAAAGATTGCTAGGCAACAAAAAAGTAAAAGGAATGAAGGCACAAAGCACTGTGAGATTGTAGGGCAGTGAAACCTGTTTGTTTAATGCACAAATGTAG